AATGGGGCCCCGAAACCCGCGTCCCTGTGGGTTTTTACCCTATTAGGGGACGGGGATTGGCATCTTTTCATCCCCGCGGGGCTGTTGTTGGGTACATTATATAACCCGACACGTTTCGTGGGTTTACACCCGTTTCGGTAGTCCCCGAACCCGGAACCCGGCAATACCCGCGAAATTATATTATTTTTTATCACCGTAGTCATCTTACCCCCGAAATCTTAGAGGCCTTGACGTGTTCACAAGATTGGATAAGAAACAAATATAAAGGTGTGTCTTTCTTTACATATCATCATAAAGTTTATCATTATCTTGTTGCAATGTTTCATAAGATGTTCATTACTACTTATTTGATTCTCATAGATGCTGACAATGAATAAGGACAAAGCTCTTGGAGTTGTCTTCAAGACATTCAAGAGGGAATGCAGGTGAAGTACAGGTACATGCAAATTTCATATACTAATCTGCATATTTTTCTCATGTTTAACTTTAGCTTGAGGGAGTTTTGATCTTCCCTAGTACTTGGCACTTTGATTTGGCATTGGAAGATTTGAAGATGGTCGTTTGGAGGCTTGGAGATGTGAAAGATGCCATGATGATTCCAACTTTAAAGTGATTTGTGAACTATAAGTTCTATTTTAGAACTTATATAGCTGTTGAACCATCTACTATTGTTTTTTGTTGAAATTTACTCAAGTTATGTTGTTGAAATGTGCTTGTTTTGCTGCTGAAATGTTATTCTTTTTCACCACTATGTTTGTTTAAATATTTTGATTTTATCGTGGGTTCCCCGAAACCCGATGGGTTTAGGGGACGGGCAGAAAACTAGCCCCGCACACGGTGATGGGGACGGGGACGGGCTTACGATTTTCTCGTGGGGATGGGTTTGGGAAGGGAAACCCCGATGGGTTTCGTCCCGTTGCCATCTTGACCCACGCGCGCTCCAAAGGACTACGACAAGGAGACCGTTGTCCCCCGACTTATTCCTTTTTTGTGTCGAGGGTTTCTCAGGTGGCTTAACAAGGCCCAACAGGAACAAAGGATGAAAGGGCTGGAGTTTGGGAGGGACGACCCTCACATAACACACCTCCTTTTTGCACATGACATCATTGTGTTTCTCGAAGCGGAGGCAAAAAATATGGTGTTGTTAAAAAATATTATGCAGGTGTATGCAAAAGCCTCAGGCCAAAAGGTGAATGTTTAGAAATCGTCGATTGTTTTGGCAAGGGTTGTGATGATCAAGCAAAAGAATGGTGGAACAATCAATGGGTATGTTAGTTATGAGGCTCTTAATGAGAAGAATTGGCTTACCAACGGTGGTGGACCTTCAAAAGATGGGTGCTTTAAATATGTCAGAAAAAGATCACATGCTAAGGTTGCTGGACGGAAGGGTCAAGGGTTGTCTAAGAAGGGATGAGAGGTTCTCATCAAGTTAGTTCACCAAGCAACCCCCACGTTTGCCATGAGTTTTTTCCCAATTCTCCAAAAAACTATGCTCGAACCTGACCACTGTCTTTTCTAAATTTTGCTAGGGAGCAGAAAATGGCAAGCGTAAAGTTCACTTGGTCGCTTGGGATAAGATGTGTAAAAGTAAGCGCTTGGGAGGTTTGAGTTTTAGAGATTTTGACGCCTTAACAAGACTCTTTTAGCTAAGCAAGCTTGGCATCTCCTCGTGGCCCCAAGACTCTTTGTGTGCGAGTCTTAAAAGCTAGATATTTTCAAAATTCCGAGTTCATGGAAGCTTCATGCCCAAAGAGTGCGTCTGGAAGATCGATGATGGCTCTAAAATTAAAGGTTTGGTTCGACAATTGGATTCCGGGTGAGGAAGCAAGAAAGCTGATAGAAGCAGATGATACACGGAATAAAAACATCGTTGATGACCTCCTTGATTATCCGGGTAAGGAGTGGGATATCCCAACACTTCAGCGAGCTTTCCATGTTAGCGGTGTGAAGGACATTCATCAAGTTACAGTCCATGGCGCGGAAATGAAGATTACCAGGCATGGAACTACCATAAATAGCGGATGTTTTATAGTATGATTGACTTACCATCTTGAGATGCAACTGAAGGAGCAGAAGGCGGACGGACCGGTGAGCTCATCACCCGTGGCGGCTCAGCAAGGCTGGAACGAATTGTGGAGTACAGATATCCCAGTCAAGGCAAAGATTCATGTTTGAAGGCAGGAAGATCATGGAACTGAGTGTGAATTTTCGCAGAACATGTTAAGCTTGTGGCTCCTCGATTGGCTGGGTAGAAAGAAAGAAGCGGGGATGGCGTTCATGATTATGATTCTATATCATATGCGGCTGGCTTGAAACATAATGAGTGATGTAAAGTAGATCGAGGGATCTCGAAGGGTGGTCGATAGGGTTTGGGCACTTGTTGAATAGTAAGCTAGTGTTCATGGTGTGAAGACTCATATAGCAAAATCTGTTGTTGCGGTGCCTTGCGTTCCACCCAAGATGGACTGGTTGAAGGTCAATGTCGATGGCGCCATGACAAAAGGAGGAAGAATCTCTGGCGGAGGAGTGACCGACCACCATGGCATGTTTCGGGTTGGGGCACGACATTTTTTTCTCCGGTGTCACTATTTCTGAACATGCTGAATTATTGGTGTATAGGCGTGGTGTGCAACTGACCATTGAATTAGATGCATATAAGCTTAGTCAAGCTCAGTCTCAAAACATCTCTACTCCTAATGGAGCAGTCGGTAGTCTTCGCCGGTCAATTTTCGTCCCACCAGAGACGGTTTATTTTCGTCCTCCTCGCACCTCCAGGTAGTCCCCTCGCACGCCAAAAAAATCGAGCGAACCCACATTACCACGGTGCGATGCCTCCAGCTACTCCCCTCGCAGCCAAGTAAATCGAACAAAAGTAAACCGACGAAAGAAAACCAGCGAAAAAAAATCGTCTTCACTCGCACGCACGCACGAGCGAGCGAAGCCTCCAGGTGCCCTCCATCATCTCGCTACGAGGACGAGAACCATATGCCCCGGCCGCCATCGCCGCCACCGATCCCTTTGCCGCCGCCGTTCCCTTCGCGTGATATTTTCCACCGTTTCTTTATCAGCCGCTCGCATCGCATCGCAACGCACCCGTCCCCGATCCCCTGACCAAAGGAAGGCACAGCCCTTGTCCTCTCTTCTCTAGGGTTTCAGCGTCGCCATCTCCGCCCTGCCAGAAAGATATCAGGAGAGGCCGGTCCAGAGCTAGAAGAAGAAGGAGAAGAGGATGTCCATGGCCCATCAGGCGGCGGCGGGCGGCAGCGACACGAGGCTGCGAACGTGTTCGTGGATGTCCTGGCGTGGAAGACGAGCAAGGAGGGTGTGCGCGGCCACTTCGAGCGCTTCGGCGAGATCCGCGAGGCCGTCATCATCGCCGACAAGGGCACCAGCAGATCCAATGGCGGCGGATTCGTGAGTACCCAGTTACCCACACAAACAATTCTTTCTTCCCCTCATCATCGATTCATCTTCAGTAGTTAATTCGCTTGCTTAATCCAGTCCCGTTAGTTGATGTTATGCCTAGATGGATGCTTGCCAGGTTACGTTCTGGGAGGCTGAGGCGCCATTGGGGTTTGCTTGGGAACGTACAGGTAACTGCAACCTCTCCTGCCTCAGGGTCCAGAGGTCCAAGGCGCCACAAGCACAACCAACTGCCTCTGCATCCATATGCTGGTAATTAATTTGTTCGATGCTTTGATTAACTTACTTTGATTGTTAGTTGTTGACCATGAGCAAGAATCTGTCAATTAATTTGATGCTTTAGTTAACTTGTAATTTGCTGAATTATTATTGGTTAAGCACTGTGCAGGTCTTCGTTTGATTGTTAGTCGGTGAACATAAGCAAGAAGCTAGCTAGGTGTGCGTGCATGCCACACACATATATCAGTTGTTGCAGGTTAAAATCATCTGCCAACTCTCTTTTTGAAAAAAAATCGGTCAACTTAATTAATCAATCATGCCGAATTGTAGACGCATGATGTTTCTTCATCTCAGTTATATCTTCCGATATTTACAGAAACTTCCGAATCTCAGTTATACCTTCCAGTTTTAATGAATCATAGTTGCTTGAATAATATCTACTCCTAAAGTTTTCTTCGAAGGTGCTCATCACATCTGTCGATACACAAGATGGAGGTGCTCCTATTGATGGTTTACACCGGATAGTTTCCAGACCTTTATTACAAGATGGACGAGCTTGGCTTCTCAGCCAGTACTCTGCCTCATCAACAGTTTGATGTCCCTTTGCATGAAGTTAGGCCAACATCAGAAGATTCGTAGCCTTTTTGAGGAGATGAAGGTGGAGAATATTAAGCCGGATAACCTCACATGCTGCCTTCTAATGATCAGCCGTGCGGCATTGAACAAGATAGATGTTGGAGAAGTTTTAAAAGAAATGCAAGAAAATGATGTAGTTCCAGGGTGGTCTGCATATAGCATGGCTTCTATCTACCTGAGTGCTGGTTTGGTTTAAAAAAAACAGTCTGCTCTGAAGGAACTCGAGGGCCTTGATTTTAGAAGGTAACATGAATATATTGATTGATCATTCATGGTCCTAGGGCTGTTTGTTTACAGTTCAGGGCAGAGTTCAGTTAATAATAGTCAATTTCATCCTGCTTGTATCACCACCACCGTGTAATATAACATATTACTGTGCACAACAATGCGTCAGCACTAATTTCGGCATCTAAATAACTTGAAATGTTGGCTCAGGGTTTTTTTACTTCATAAAAAATTATTTTGTTTCTCGTGGTGCAGTGTTATTTAGGCTTCATTATTCTACAATTTCCGGCAAATTGATAAACATGCCATACATATATATATGTCCCCTGTTGCAACCGTACAACCTCTTTTCCTTCATTTTATTTTTTTAATATTAAAGGGAGGTGAGTTTCTTTAACTTTTTTACATTGTAGTTTATAAAATTTTAAAACCATGGAAAAGTAGTGCATCAGGGAAGGTTCGCCACTAGACCACCCCTGATTGCAACAAAATATCCTTTATTTTTTTATCTTTCTCGTAATTATGTATTTAACAAATCTCTCCTACTTAAAAAAGAATAGCAACCAGTGTTGAATTGTTAAAGTTCTAAATCTATATTTAGACACAATTGGTGTTGAGGCATTAAATATGTATATCCAGTTGCAACGCACGGGCTCCTCAGCGTATGTATGCTTCGACCTATTTATATGTTGTTTTCTTGGTCCTTCGTGCTCTGTACATCGCTTCACAATTTGTGACAGTGACAGTGAGGCTACTCCCTACCTTTCTCATCTTTCAAACCGGTGGCAGTGACGGATCACACCTCAACCTTGCAGGAGTTGTTATGGACCATCTGGTTTTCTTCATGAATCCACACCACCGGAAATTCTGATGGAGACCTTCCACCTGACGTCCTTCTTACTACAACCTCACATGCTGCCTTCTAATGACGAGCCACTACATTTGGTTACTCAGATTCTTCTACATGGTGACTATTGACGCAAAAGGATTGCACTTCCATCTCAATCACTGCATTTGGTTACTCAGATTGCAAGTTATTGTGCATATCTACTGTTATCACACTTTTCATTCCTTTGTGTTGATGTAGAGGTACAAACAAAGGTACAAAGTGATAAGGGCACATGATCTTCTAGATTTTTTACACTCCTCTTGGCAGGCAACAAATTATCTTTTTTTCAATCAGCGCCACGACGGCCGCGGCCTCCCCGCCGCCGACGCTCCAGATCCGCCCGTCGTTGACCCCCTCTACATCAGTGATCGATCAAGGCAGGGGGCATGGCGATATCCATCTTTCCGCGTGTATGGCGGCCGGTGCCCGCGTCCGTGTATCCTGCGCCAAGGGTGTCGTATTCATCTCAAGGAGGCCCTCTCAGTCCTTCCCAGCGACGACGACGAGTCGGGATTCCTCCTCCCACAGATCCGTTGATCCATGGTTAGATCTCAAGGAGGAGGGGCGTGAGGCGATTGCCACCGTCAGTGCCTGCACTGGAAGGTCTCCGGCACCTGCTCCAACCAGATCCAGCCGGACCCGTCCTGCGCCTGCCATCCCATTGCGGTAATAAATCTCAAGCCATGTCCTTTTCATTGAGTTGAACTACAAAACTCATGTTGTGTTATATCTTGCTGAATGTCTTGCCAGATATGTGTGCTGCTCCTGTTGTGCACTTGCTGATTAAGCCGCTGCTTGTGCAAAATATGCCTACTGCTACCCGGGCTCACATGACCCAGAGGAGGAAGGAGCTGCGCAAGGAATCACTGCCAGAAGACTCAAATACGAGTTTGAAGAGTCCTGGACTATAGACCAAGTTCCGCAAGGAAGCAGCAATGCGAGCTAGCCGAGGGTTCAGACTATTTGCGCTTTGATTCTCGCTGATTCATGATTTTGACCCAACCAAGCAGCTTTGGCGATCACGGAGGAGAACCCGCTGTTCCTAGGGGCCTGACGCACGGTCGATCACAAGTCCTCCAACGGGTGGAGCTGGTTCAGGTACCACGGGCACTCTCCACGACAAGCAGGTTCCAGTTGTGCAAAGTCTGCCCGCTACTGCTATTCGTACTATCCCCCTAGCAAAATAAATTTATCTGATGCCTCAACAGCTCACACTTCTGCATGTCACCCATTTATTTAGTGTAGGTCTGGGGAATTTTTTAAGTTGTTGTCTATACCTTCATGTTTTTCCTTGTGAAATATCTTCATGTTTTTTAGATTACATAAATTTTTTAACGTTGGATTTTTGTATGTCTTGGTTTCTACATTTCTGAAACTGAAAGCTATTATCGCCGGGCAGAAATATAAATTTCTTTTGTTGCTATCGCGTGTTTAATCCCTCCGCCCTAAAATAAGTGTCGCTGAAAAGGGGTAGTTGTTTCTCACAAACAGTGCTATTTCAGTCTCAGAATCTAAACTGTCTTCTAAGGTTCTAACAAACTCTGATCACCACCTTTATGAATATGCTACACAAATTAAGGATATTGTTAAGATCTTTATTACCTTGACTTTTTTAGTTCACTGTTCGCAGACTCACCAATTTTGGCGGCCCCAACAATTATGTTCCGAAAATTACAGTTAGCTGCTCAATTGAAAACCTTACCAGTAATAGAACTAAATTGTAATATTGTGACTATAGTGTTGCTAGAGAACTGATCGACAGAGTAAAGACAAGTATGCTTCCTCCTCCCTGCAGCTTAAGTCATTTAGTCCATATTTATATGTTAGAGCCTAGAGGTGATGTTTTTGTGGGAAACGTTTTACAACCAATATCCTATAACCTGTATTTGACACTATATTCCGAGTCTGCAAATCATGCTCAGGGTTAAAATAGAATTGTCCGTTTCTACAACATAATGGATGCTTTTACTGTTCGAAATTTGCATTAGTACTTGATATAGTGATTAGATCAACCTTGCAGTACTAATGAGCTCCTTTTAGCCTTGCTTATATGGTTAGCTTTTGGAAATAATTGATCATGTTTTCCTCCGTTGGATCAGAAAACTAGAAGTAGGATATGTCTAAGCTAAGAGTGGTTTTAGATCATAGCATCACACAAGAAAGGCTCCAATCCCCTTCTAGATATACATGTTTGTCCTATATGTTCTCTTTGTAATTCTTATGATTTTTAGTAGAATAGAGAGTTCTTAAGTCTTCAAATTAGCATATGTGGACATTTGATTGAATCAACTTCTCCTTTTAGTTGAAAGAGAAAGCATAGTAAATGCATTTTTTGCGTCTTCTACTCAGTTAGACTTGCTCAATCCTAACTTGACGATTTTCTAGGATTTGACACATCTCCACTTGCAAGGCTACAACCAGATATAGTCCTTTAGATTGATTAATTACACACACGTACAAGGAAACATATCACTTGAAATGTGTGATTTGCATCGAGAAGAACACCGAGATAGGATCAGAGCATGCGCACTGCTTTATAGTCTACATCAACAAACCGTTGGCGAGCATGTTGAGACCATGAGCCCACGTGGGACCTCCAGAGAACTTGAAAATCACCGACATTGCCAGCAAGGTTGTGGTGAATTAAAGGTATGTACAATTTGCATTGGCGCTTGCGTATATTTTCTCTGAAGATGACCATAATTGTGTCATGCCACTTGTTGTTCTTCAGCAGAGATTTAATCAATCCAGAGATGTTGTAAATTGATACAATTGAACCACATACTTGGAGAGACGATGCCGTTGACTTCCGCAACAATGAGCAAGGTGGCGAATACCTGCTAGAGAGTGGAGAACTTCTAGCACCACTCGACAGACAGATCATCAACCATGTAAGGTATGAGGGCATACAACACCCATGATTGTATTTTCTGTATTCGTCCGTTCTTCTCAATCGTGTATGACCAGCCAAGTACTTTTTTTTCTATATTACAATATTTTGGAAAATATAAGAAGACGCCAGTAATTCAACACATGCAACTTCCATTGTATAAAAGCTTCATATATTTGAACAGTCAAACTTTATCAATATCTGCAAATAACACTCATGTACTCAATATCATGCCTTTGCATGAAGATTAAAAGAAGAGATAAGGTGAACCACATGGCAAGATCTCAAATAACCGAATATGCTGCATATATAAAATGGCTAGATATGCAATCCAACAAGGTATACATCTGTTCTAATCATGCATATTTCGCAGGGGCTATATGTAAGTTAAACCTCCTGAATATATTTGTGAGAAATAAAAATACATGTCCCCGATGAGTGCTGAGAGGTCTATTTGAAGATATATAAAAAGTAGAAGTGACTTCTAATAACAATTTAAAGTTCACAAAAAACTTTAAAATACTCATATGACAAATACTTGAGTAGAGATTTGAATGTGATAGAACATTATTAAAAGCTCCATTTAACATCTTCGTCCTGCATGTTAAAATGTACAATATTATGTTTGCGCTTAGCATTCTTTATGTAGGTCCATCCGGTCCATGTTTGATTTTTTCCTGAATTTATTTATGATACAACTCTGGCTGCATGTTTGATTCTAACATATTATGCCCTCTTTATGTAGGTCCACTGGGTCCAGATGTGCAAGGCAAACATGCAGAGGTCTTCGAGAGGCTTGTGCAGACGGAGCTTACAGGCAGATCCAAGCGGATACACCAGCCATAGCTGGCCCTATGCTGGGTGGCGGCATTTATGAGCCTGAGCTTGACATGAACGTGAGGTATAGATGATTGACGAAGAACGACTTTGTTGTATCCATCGACGCCATACCCTTTGCCAAAACAAACGACCTTCTCTTGTGTCCATGAACTTTTGTTAGCGTTTAGTGAATCATGCAATAGCTACAAGATAGCTTGTTGGGGAGTTTCCCCGGTGCTGGTGTTACATGTATGTACTTTGTGTCTGAAATGGATGGATGGGTGTTGTACTGCTGCTGAGAAAGGATGGAGGGAGGAAAGGAGGAGTACTTGCATCTTTAATTTTATCTTGCAAGTTTCTGCCTTCCTAAAAA